CAAAGCCATTGCTCAGCCATAAGGAGAAAGGGATGAAGGGAGGCATCCGTGCCCAGCAGCTCCCAGAGAAAAAGGGAAAAAGGCATTTGTCGCTACGATGAAACGAGGCCCCTTCGCTACAAAGGGCTCTTCTAAAAGAGGCTGCCTTGATGCAGGGCTGCAAAATTTCACAGAAAATGCTGTTTTTGTGTTCTTTGTTAGCAATATCCCATGCAGAATTTAATTATTTTTTTTTCCCCCAGCCACAGGTCCTCCCCTGGAGGTCAGCAACCAGATGAGATGTTGTCACCTTCCACGTGGCCTGCGGGCTGCAGTGGCCCCAGGCTGTGCTCGGCCCCAGGCTGGGGGTCACGCGAGGACGGCTCCGGCCGCTGCCCAAGGCTCGGGGGGAGCACCGTTCCCAAGGACTCGCGCTGCTGTTAGCCCGGTCTGCTATGAGCCTACCGCCTCCAGCAGCAGGCTCAGAAATGCCAATTACGATCAAGAAAATCCCCTCCAAAGATGCGTTTTGGACTTTATTCACTGTGACAAGTGCTTTTTACCTTGTGCGTTGCTCCAGGCTGCTGGGCTGAGCGGAGCGAGCGCAGCTCAGCATTGCACGCGGGCCAGAGAGCTCTCACCCTCATTCATGCCATGCCAGGTCCCTGAAAGCCCTGCTCATCCCAACATCTCATGGGTTTCTGCCTAAAGGGAATAGGAAACTGCTCCTTGCTTCCAAGAGGAAACAGCTCTATTTCCTGCACTGCCGCTGCCTCGTGCCACAGCTGTTCCTAGAGCAGGCATGCTTGCATCAATGCATACTTTAACATAGCACCGTGTTTACACAGGAAGTCAATTTTGCTTTTGGTACAAAATCTCTGGAAATCTTTTATCACCAGAAAAGCCAGGCTAGCGCCTGAGGAAATGCACCAGGAAGAACAGGCCGAACCATTTTTGCAACAGACACAGGAGTGCAACTCAACCGCCTTAGCTTCGCTGCATGTGCTTGGGTGAGGCGGAGGAAGGAAGGCTTTCCGCAGTGCAAGCCACCTGCCCTCGGGCAGCCACGCTGTGCCAAAACCCCTCACCCCCAAAGAGCATTGCCCTGCTCCCACCGGTCCCGAGGAGCCTGAACGATTCGTCCAGTCGCAGGCGCCTGAACTTGGGCAAGGTGAATCTGGCTCCCTGGGTGCAAGCTGTGGGAGGAAGGACTGGTTTTCTGCAAGACAGGCCAGAAACATGTTGCTTATTTCCCATCTCCCCTAGCAAGTGCCCCAGGATAACAGACGGGTTTGAGCATTGCACGCTCCTTCCAGTAGCAAAAACTGCTGCTCTGTCCTATCTGCACCCCGGGGGGCTGCCCCTTGCTTGCTTTCCAGTAAGGCGAGGGCTGAATATTTCTTGCTAGGTAGTAGTTGTGCTCATATGACCATGGGAAGCACCTCGGACACCCAGTCTCTGCCCTCTCTATGACCCAGAAGGGCAGAGATTTGTCAATGGCCCACGTGCTCGTCTGGACTATGCCAGCAGCCCCGAAGGCTGCAGAAGGAGCTGACCTGCCTAAGGAAACCCAAGCTTTTAGGGAAAGGGTCTGCTTTAGTCACGCTTCACATATTGCACTGTAATTAAACAGCATGCAAGGCTCCAGGTTTCTCGTTAAAGAAGAAAAAGCACAATCAAAGG